TGTATTTTCCATTTTGTTCGATGACCTTTTGCCACTTCTCTGACAACTTGAAAATTCCACGCTCGTAAAAAGTCTGATTCTTTTCGGCCAAAAACTGAGTTAAGTGAGATTTTACAGCGTCATCATCATTAAAAGTTTTACCACGAACGGAGTTGTCCTGGGATCGAAATAAGTGGTAATCCGATGGCGCGAGATCAGGGCTATATGGTGGGTGTAACATCAATTCCCAACCAATATCCATCAATTTTTGCCGAGTGGACAAAGACGTGTGCGGCCTTGCATTGTCCTGGTGGAAAATGACACCTTTACGATTGACCAATGCTGGTCGCTTTTCCTTGACTGCTACATTCACGGATAATAAAAAATAACATAATAATAATAATAATAATAATAATTTTATAATGTAACATTTACGGATATCATAAAAATGGGAGCGAGAGACATCTATAACTGAAATAGGCAATTACTTAGTTGCCAACCCAATATATTACTCTGTGCCACACGAGGGCCATTTTCAGGGGCTGCTAGGAAACGTGCCTGAGCATCGACGATCGGCAGCCAATCGTAGCGTCGATGACGCGAAATGCTCTATTTATATTTCCTGCGAATTCTTAGAGAGGCGAATACAATGTCTTCGAATCCCTGTCTACGTGTTCCAGGGAACCGTCAAAAGGCCTTTACTTGAACCTAAATACGCGGCCTTGGAAAATTCTCCGTAGAGCGAACATAAATCCTCCCTCCCAAAAAAACAAAAAATGCCACGGTAGAAAAGTTCCGTACGTCATATCATGCTTTTACAACGCATAGCAAACGGAAAACTGAAGAAACAGGTTCACTCGAAAATGTTACAAATTGAAACGTCTCCAAAACGAATTTCAAGATTGGAACTTACTCTTTACAATGACCCCTCAAATCTGGGTGTACGACTTTTTTTTATTCCTTTTATGAAACAGAAACGTGGTACAAGTTTAGGTGTAGATCCCTCGTGTGAACCTTATGTTACTCTAAGGCAAGGCTCGGAACGCTTCGGAACGCAACATTGGGCTCCGCCTCCTGACTACCGCCGCAACTTCCTCCTCATCGCGTTGATTCCATCGGCTTACTGCTTCTGCGACGGTAGTCAGGAGGCGGAGCTCAATGTTGCACTCCGAAGCGTTCCGAGCATTGCTCTTAAGTATGTAGTACATCAGGGGTGTCAAACTCAAAAACTTACTTGGGCCAAATAAAGAATGCTTAACTTTAGGTGGGCCGCAAAAAAAATCAATGTTCATAGAAACAAATATTTTTATTTTGACTAGTACATTGTAATAAATATATATAAAGTTAAATTATTGTTTACGTCCTGATACTTGACATCTCTTCTCTGATACTATCTTTCCTATTTCGGGAGAAATTTTATTGGCCGAGACTACTTTCAAAATTTCTGATTCACATTTCTATTTTATTTTTACTTTGCGTCGGATATATTGACTGGGCCGCAAAAATGTTCATCTCGGGCCGCGAGTTTGACACTCCTGTAGTACATCTTTCATTTGAAGTTCAATAGAGTGAATAAAAAAAGTCGTACATCACAAAGTTTAAGAGGTCATTGTACAGGATCTGTTCTGAAAAAGAAAAAATCAGTTCTGAAAAAAATTGTCCAGTGTATTTACAAATGTTTCAGTCCGTAATATTTCTGAGAAAGAGCATGTCTGCAGTTTCCTACCTGTTACGTTATTATTACGTCATGTTACAGGAAAATCAACGATGCATAGCGCAAGTAAATGCTATAAGTTTTAAGATAAATCCAGGTTTATTGTTGTTCTACACATTTTTACAAAATTATAATGGTTCGAATATCGACAGTTTGCCAAAAATCAGAAATATAGTAAGTTCTCTCCAATTGCCCCTCTCAGCTTGTAAACAAAAATGGACAATTTGGAATTATTCGCTCCTTGCGGCTCGTTCTTATAGTCATCGATTGTCAACAACTATAGAAACGAGTTGCGAGACTCGAATAATCGTATCTACACTTCCAAAATTCTGTATTTTTGCTTACAATGTGAGGGACAATTTAGATAGAATTTGAGAGAATTTGACGCTTAGCTTGGAAACAAAAGTGGACAATTTCAGAAGAGAAGATACGATTATTCCAGTCTTGTAGCTCGTTTTTATAGTTGTTGACAATCGGTAATTAATTAATCGTATCTTCTTTTTCCAAAATGTACATTTTTGCGTACAAGCTGAGGATCAATTAAGAAGAATTTGTATGTTTTACTCCGACTGGGATTATAAGTTCTCGTAACAGCATATCATCGATGAAAGTTCCTACTGAAGGGAATTGAAATCAATAGCAAAGTTTACCGGAAAGATCTAATTACACGGTCGTAAATGACGTGTACGAGCGCTGTTGGCGGTCTCGAAAAAACTGGCACGAATCGCGTTAGTGGTCGCGACGCGACGTACACAATTATATTGCACTCTTTGGCACGCGGCAATTGAGTGCAATAGGCAATTGTTAGTGACGCACTTTATTTTACCCGGAACGAAATCGCGTTCACAGATAGTCAGGTTTTCGCGCGTTTTCATGCCCGAGCAGATTCAGGAAGCATTCGATCGTACTCGGATGCTGATTAGATGACCTTACTGCGAATCAAGGGTGCGATGTAATAATCGTTCTTCCCAATTACGATGCACCATGTTTATACAAATGCAGTAGGCGGCAATCGCGTAACCATGAAACCGATTCTTTTTATAAACGTGCGAGTCGTATGTCATTGAAGATATTAATGCAAAATGCACGCCGTTGATTCGACGCATTTGCGGAACCTACAACTGTCGGATATTCGACGAGTAATGATATTTTGATTTTATTGGTACAATGGAATCGCGATTTTCTAAATCAATCAGGGAGATATAAATTTTCGGAGAATCACGAAGTAACTGTTCAGATGACTATTATTATTACAATAGAACAGCGATTATCCGAACTGTTGATATTTGAATTATTTATTTTTAAACACGTTGTATATGTAAACAGTTCAATTTAAGGCAATCTATGCACAAGAATATTTAATTTGAATTTGATTATAACATAACTGTTCTATTATTCAAATAGAATAATGTGTGATTCATTAGTTCGGATAAACGAGATTCTATTGTAGTTACAATGTTGTCCTAAGTTACTGTTTTGTAGAATAAATTTTTTTGGCAATTTGTTTACATATGTAACATACTTGAACAATAAATAAGTCAGATAATGAAAAGTCAGATAATCGAGGTTCGATTGCGCAGTTGGAATTTATGTGAAAATCTCTTTATCATTAGATAACAGATTTTATGCGAACAGTGCTAATCGTTATTGTTTCTCACATATAATGAAAGCTTAAACGAATTTTATTTTATTTCATTCATGCCCACCTAAAGTAACCACTGCGAGATATAAATGTTCGTTTATTCGTTATATTTCTAAAGTAAGCTAAGGAAATCTTAAAATGTATAATTACCACTTTTCTTATTAATAACTGCGGATTTCTATTGAGAATAGAAATTGCCTGTATTAACGTTAGAACGCTTAAGGTATTAGAAGGTTTGGGAGAGTTATTTTGTATCCATGTAAGAAAAAATGCTGTAAATATTACTTTTTCTGTTCGAGGTATATCTATTTATGCAATACTATTAAACGATACGTTTAGGCATCTATTAATTCGAATATAAAATATAAAAATTTATAAAAGAACATTGTTTTGACAAAAATAGATGTTCAAAATTCTGTGGACATTTTTTTACCCTCTCTTAAGCGTGCTAGGGTTAATTACAAGACGTAGAAGCTACATGCGTACTTTTTCAATAATTTTAATAAGCTGTAAATAATGCAATAGTGCACACAGACCAGTGCAATGGATGTGCTGATTTTTATCATAAAATCCGCAGTCTATTCATAACTGTCGAATAAAAGACGAAAGCCAAGTAAAACCTTCGTAACACTGCTCGGTGTAATGACCTTGACGATATATTAAAAAATCGAAAGGTAATAACATTTTCTAAATATTTACTGGTATCCGTCATTAAGAAAATAAATTTTGTATTAATATAACGATGTTATTTAATTAATAATCACATAATTTAGATGAATTTAGTCGAAATCAATAGATATTCATTTATATATATATATATATATATATATATATATATATATATAAAATAATATTATATTATTTAATCGATATTCATTTTTATTAGTACTAATTTTCAGTATAGTTATTTTATCCGACTGTCTAGTAGGATTAAATTGAATTTGGCTTCAGTTCATTGAACTGAACGCACTACTTGGAGCCAATATGTATAACTTAAATTTATGAACACGTCAGTATATTTCCCCGCATAGTATAAGACACATAAACAAACAAATTTTGAATCTTATTTATTAATTAACATTATCGCGAGTAGTCCGCACTCTCGAAATAAGAACAGTCACGAATACGTGAATTTGCAATTTGGAATTAATAATGTGGAGAACCGTTTCAATTAATAAAATAGTATAGAGGTACTGATAATCTTATATTTCGAGATTTTGAAATATTATGTGAGTCAAAGTAATATCACAATGTACGAATAAGGGTAAGACAAACTTAATAAGCAACAAAGAAATTCTATATAGGGAAGAGAAACAAATATTTACAGAATTATTGAAATTGAAGTAATGTTAGTCTAGCTTTTTCCCGTCAACAATTTTTAATTGTATGTGTATGTGAACCCGTAATATTTAAATTCCCTATAGTATAAACACGTTTCACATGTAAATAGCACAATTGAAGGAAATTTAGAAGCAATACTACTTATTATAAACGTGACCAAGTCTTTAACCTGGAACACTTCTGTAACACTTATGTTCTACCTCGATTTGGTTAGTCAAAGTTCTACTGTATTCTACTGTGGATTAGTACAAAGACCATACATTTAAAATGTAGAACTTCAGAAAACACAATTTACAATATATCTAATCTTTGTTTTCTTTTTAGGGCGACCCAGGCATACAAGGATTCACCGGTGCTCCTGGACTCTCGGTTTGTATAAGTCTTTATTCTAATAAAACTTTGTACTACGAATAGCAATTATTAACAATAGAAGATTGGACTTATTTAAACTTCATACAATTTCTATTACAATATAGTAAGCGTGTCAATTACTGTGCCCATTAAAGTGACGTCCGAAGATTTCAACAAATTAAATAATTTATTCCCCATAAATCGCACTTCTCAAAACATTTAAATCATATGTATATTGATGTCTTTTATATAAGTATGAACTTTTTCATACTTGAAATATATAAAGAACATGAACTATTTAATGAAATGGACAAAATAGATTTTTAACGAGTTACTGTGCCCATAAAAAGATGAAGGATTAATTTCTGTGTATTAGTTTCTGTACACTGATCTAGTTACTAGAGATTAGTGATTCTTTCAAAAAAATCGATTCTTGAATCGATTCTGAATCGCGACGTCAAAGATCGATTCACTAGAAAGTCGAACCGTGAAAAACCGATTCTTTGAAAATTGATTGAAAAAAATCGATCGAGAAATACTATTTATATCCATATGCATACTGCATCAGACCTAAAATGCAATAATTTAATGACACTTTAATATTGATTTACAAAATTACTGTACACTTCAATTATTGTTAATTCTTCATTTTTTCAAATCCTAAATAAATGAATAAATATACCAATCTAATTTAAAAGTTTATACGCAGTGGATCATCATAAGATACTGTAATTGCTATTTCTATAGTGTTATAAATGTTATACACTTAATATTTTATTGAAGAATTTGCTTTTTATTTAGTAACCAATCATTTAAGGGCAATGAATTTAGGAAGACGAAATGTTTTAAATGGCAATAGTTAACGATATTATGATGGCTTTGAATGGGAGATCGATTCGTTTCAAAATCTAATATCCAAGAATCAATCCAAAAAAGATCGAAAACGCTTCGAAAAAAACAAATTCTGTAGAAAATTTAGTTAGTTACTTGGTGTCAATTTCTGTACACTGATCAAATTACTGTAATCAGTGCTATAACAAAGATGCAAAAACGTGAAATATTCCGTACTAAATTATTTAGCATAATTTACTGTAACTATTTTACTAACAATTTATGATAATTTATTATAATGCGGTATTTGTTGCGAGAGTTTGCTCACTAATCAACGCACGCATCGAAAAGGACATGGCTTAATCAACTACACTTAATCGAGTTATAGAGCACAGTTGTAGAAACAAGACGTAAATTTATTTCAGTTACAGAATTACTTTAAATAAAAAATATATCTAAGAAATCGATTATATCATTGCTTTTCTGGAATTTAGACGAGTTTTATGAATACAATAGTTTATTCTTTTGTTTTGGAAAGCATCGTTTTTGTATTTGTTCATCTTTATTTGCAACGTATTTCTTAAATTTTTTAGAAGATCGAGCAAAAAACACATCACGAAGCTTATACCAGAAATTTAAAAAATTACTTTCCGCATTTTATAGGTCTTAAGAAGTTTTGATTTGGCTATAAAAATTACACATAAAATTTTATTTGAAAGATTCAGAAACTTTAATTTAAAAATGTTATTTTTAAATATAAGTAAAATTGTTGTAACGGTACAGTAATAGGGGGGAGGGCGGGCACAGTAATTGACACACTTATTCTACATGCTCATAAAATTTTTTTATAATATGAGGAATTGTGAAAGCAAAAATTAAGGAACTGGTTGACTGGTTCGATGGTGATAAAAATGGTACTTGTATATAGAATACAATTCGTTAAGTACTATAAAAATATTGCCACTCTATGTATTCTAAATTGTTATTGTAGTTCTTAAATAATGTTTTGATAAATTGTTTTTAATTAACTGCCATATATCTAGAAATCTTTTCACTAAACGTTCCAATGTTCCATCAATTGATAAAATCAAAACAGCACTGGTTATTGAATCATTCACATATTACACAGATTTTAACCCTTTGCACTCGAGTCTGAGCCACCACTGAAATTATTGTATCACGTTCTAATATCACTTTTATATCTCTCGTCGAAGTTTAGATTATAAATATTATTAAAAGCATAACAGTTCTATAAATCAGGAGACTCAATTTCATATGCCTAAAATGCACTTTGTCATGTAAAATGGAATTACTGTAAGTCAGAAAAATTATTTTAGATTTACTGATAAAATGGGTTCGAGTGCAACGGGTTAAGTCGCAATACCTACCTTGTACACATGCGACATCGTTGAGGCAACTGCAAATTAAACAAATGAAATGTGTAACAAATCATAAGCTAACACAAAATAGTCTTTATGCGTTTACGGTAAAAATGGGTAGCTAAAATTGAAAATGTTGAAAATATTTAAAGATTTTAAGGACGTCTACGTATTATTTTCAACTCACTTAAATTATTAAAAAAAGAAATACATTTCCATCTTTTCGATGCAATTGTCTAAGATAATTTTTATTTTGCATAAAGATCCGCAGTCTAATGATAAATTTTTTATATATGATATTTTATATATATTATTTATGATAAATTTTTTATGTAATATGCGAAATGTTCATTCGCTGGGGGTGTTCATTCATTGAACAGATAACCCTATCTAGAGCGCATTTCGTCGAAGCATAAAATTTACAACCTAGAGGCAATTTTTCCCTACTGAAAGTACCAAAACAGAGACTAAGAATAATTAAACTGTTGTCCACAGGGCAATCCAGGTTTGGCCGGTGTGATGGGACCTGACGGTTTGGATGGTTGCAACGGGACCGATGGACGTGCTGGCGCACCAGGAATGCCGGGTGTCTATGGTAATCGTGGTATTCCGGGTCCACTTGGTGATTACGGACCAACTGGCGAACCTGGCGACGGTGGTATCAACTCCGTCGGCGTAAAAGGTGTCCGTGGTACTCCGGGTATCGATGGGCTTGCGGTAAACAACTTCTTTACGAAATCGATTCGGATCACCGAGAATTTGCTTTTCTTAACACCGAAGTCATCATTGAAGCATCGAAAACTAATTAGAATAAATACTTCCTAATTTTCCTTCAGCTTGAAAACGAAAATGAATAACTTAGGAACAGGAGATACTATTATTCGAGCCTTGCGCCTCGTTTTTATAATTGTTGACAACCTGCAACTATAAAAAATGAGCCGCGAGCCTCTTCCCAAATTGTCCATTTTTGTTTACAAGCTGGAGGACACAATTGGGGAGAATTTACCGTAATTCCTTCAGAAACTCGATGTCAAAGTGTAAATTTTACAGTGGCTCACGAAAATATTTTCCTTATTACGTCGACATTAGCGAGTAATTGGGACAAAAATGCATCCTAATTTTACAAATTTCTTCAGATGCATTAACAGATTAAGATAACAAATTTTATTTACACGTGTCATATACATGACTGTCCATCGTCATAAAGTGAATTCGGACACACAAGTTGCAACAACAAAAAATACATAGTATAAACAAATCACAAAATTGTGTAAAATAGAGATTTAAAATGACATCAATCATAAGTAAATAATAATTTTTAATTAATCTTTATTAATAATTGTATACAATAATACAATAGTAATTATATATATAATTATTATTAATTATATATATAATAATTATTATTAATTATATATATATAATAATTATTATTAATTATTATTCAAAATTTAATTTTCAAACAGATTGTTAAATAACAGAGGTATAAAACCAGTAATAAAAATTTTTAAAAATTTGTTCTTATAATTTTTCAACTTAATTTTATAAGGCATTTGAATACTTTCATGGCTCACAGTACATGTAAGCTACAAAGCACGTTATTAAAATTTTCGTTACAGGCATAGATAAACAAGTTATTTTCCTTAACGTTTTTATTTTTCTTCTCATTTCAATGAATTACAAGTTTGCAAAAGTCTGTTTATACATTTTGCAGTAAACTAGCCTCTCCAACATCTCAATAAAATTCAAATTATTTGGTCCAATTCTGAAATAGTTATTTCGCTTTAAAATACCTCCGAATAACATTAATTAGTAACTGTTGCTACTTCGAAGCACCGTAGTGCCCAGTTTTGTATACAGCGTACATTATTGAACATTTCTTGAGGGTAAATCGAAAATTATGACTTTTTCGGGGTGCATTGCCCTCTGCGGATAAATTGCGGGAATCGAACCACTCCCAGGGACGGGAGCCAAGGATAGGACGAAGGGAACTGTTGGACACGTAGCTGCAAAGAGAAACAGTGTTTTGCGAGTGGCAGTAGCTTTGAAACGTGACGAGCATATCGGGATACGTGTGGTATATAACTAGGACGAATTTTCTTCGTCCACGTGGGTCACATCAAGGCGTCGGGGTTTTGAAGAGCTTCAATTGGAAATTGGATTCTTTTGTTGAGATTAAAGCCTGCGTCTATCATTTTAATGCTCTACGTCTCTGGAGCGAACGTGAGATGAAACAAATATTTATTCATATGGTAATACAGTACCTCGATTATCTGAAAATCGTATCGTACACGCTGCCTTACAAATGTACAGCCCACTCCAAAATTATTTAATTTCTTTTTATTGAATAATGTAAATTAAATTTTTTGATAATTACCTGTTTTCAAAAACGGCCTTTAGAAAAATATTACAATAGAATCAATTTGAATAGTTGCAATTGATTTTGTTTTATATAATAAATAATGTCGGTATTGCATGTAATTAAACGGATTACAAGTCAATTAAATTTTTTGATAAGTACCTGTTTTATTTAGAAAAATATATTCTAATAAGATGAATCTAAATTCTTGCAATATTCATTTAGTTTCATATAATAAAGAATGTAAATATTGCTTGCAATCAAACGGACAATCCGACAGCTTCTTCGTTAAGAAATTGGTGATGGTAGCAAGTAAAACTAGTGTGTTTAATACTCCGTGGCACCATCTTTTATATATAATTAATTATTCATTTTATATTTTATTTTATTTTACATTCAATTTTATGGTTTTTTGTTATATTTGTAGCCACTCATTCATAATATATTTTTTTAAATCATTGACATTTTTTAATTTTCTTACATTTTGATACCGTACTCCAGCAAGGATAACCAAACAATATTTTATAATTCAAATTTTTAATGCAGGATCAGATAAAAATATTGAATAAAGTAAATTTTTTAATCCTTTTTATATTTTAATCAATTATAATTTTTACGAACATTTTTGTAACCATTGTCTAATAAACTTAATCAAATAGCCCAGAATTATCACTACCGTTACTTCTTCTAGAAAATAAATCAAGTAGTTTTCTGGCAGAGATAAATTAAATTGAACGTTTCGCAGCATACTGCAAAACCAAGAACAATTCTTTTCTTTACGAGTGAAGATTATTATAAAAATTTCAATTTGTAAATACAACAGCGCAAGCGACATACAGCTTGTCCCAGCAATGCATAAAAGTTGTTTGGTTTATAATAATAATAATAATAATAATAATATGGTTTATTATAAAAATATCGGTTTATTATATAAAAAGTTGTATAAAATATCATTTGTAGTGAAATCTGGATAACACCTTGCTCAATAATAATAATAATACACAGGATTATCGTTTCCATGAAGGAAGCTTTTCTGCCTTCTGAAATGCAAGTTCTCAGGTGATCCAGATTCATTGAATCCGTTCGGTGTTAAATCACTTGTATTTTGTCCTCAGGGATATCAAGGATCGTACGGAATTCCTGGTGAAATGGGTCTTCCAGGTGAAACGGGCGACATGGTGAGTAATGGAACACGAGTTTCTAGGTCAATTTATATTATTCGTTTAGACACTTAACGTTTCGATCATCGCGTTTCGGGCCAAAACGATGGCAGTGTTTAAGCGCGATCGCGCCGTTTAGATTTTGTGTCGAAAAGTCCCACGACATTTGAACACTATGAACAAATAACGGCGCACTCACAGATTGTCGAAGTAACGCGTTCAACTTTATTGACGCACGTACAGCGCGTAGCTGCTTTTTTAAAACGTAAGTAATACAACTAACACATTTTGTATTTCATTGTTATCTTCTCAATAATTCTTATTGAACAAAACTTGAAATATTTATAAACCAACAGTACGCATATTAAGATAAGCGCTATCGCGCTGTTCGGCATTTTTCGATCGTGTTTTTTCAATGACCCCTGGGACTCAAACGGTTAATGCTATCATTTCACGTCCGATAACGACGAGCAACAGACGTATAGTCTTCACGCGACAAGAAGGCACGTTCTCCCTCTTACTAGCTGCCCCACTACCGCAGCTAGTAAGAAGGGGTCTTCTTGCTGCGTGAGGATTGTACATTGACGGCCATCGTTTCAAAATATTGTCACATTTATGTGATTGCGCTGCATAGCATTATTAGATCAAGAGGGTCGAAATAGACGATCATTTTACGGTCCATAAAATTTAAGAGAACTGAAAAGTCTGTGGGCAACATTGGATTTTATTCGAGCAGCTTATTAACAATTAATTTATTCAATCTAATTCATAGGGTTTTCCATTCGTTGTAATAAATTACTATTTACACGTCCGTTTGTTAACAACAACGGATGTTTCTCCGAAAAGTTGGCCATGCGATTTGGAACTTCATATGATTTTTATAAGAATTCGGTACTCTTATGTTTTCAAGGTTGCCGAATTTGAATGTCTTATCAAAAATGCAAAATTCAAAATGGACAATCGGACACTACTGACATAGGCATTGTTTTTAACTTATTTTTCGTAAATATCAATAATTTTTTGATATTTGGCTATAATTAAATAATTAAAACATCAAATTTAATACGATCTTTATATTAATTTTAATTCCAACATTTGTAACACATTGTTCGAGGAGTGCGTTGATCAGCACTATTTGACGATGTAGGTTTAAATATCTTAGAAATGAACAAAATTGGTAAAATTCGGCAAAATTTTTCGATCGAATATCGTAGTTTACATCTTTCTTTAAGCCACGAATCTCGTTGGAGCTGGTCTTTCGATAATTATCCCAATTTCTTCTTTAGTGCTAATAATATAATTAATATAATAACTAATTATTAGCACTAATAATTATTAGTGCTAATAATACTCTGCATATAAGCAACGAAAAATACTTTCGAATTAAGTCTTGTGCTTTCCTCCTCAGTATGTCCTAAATCGTTGTCATATTATCATAATATATTATAATATGACAACGATTTAGGACATACTGAGGAGGAAAGCACAAGAATTAATTCGAAAGTATTTTTCGTTGCTTATATGCAG